CCTGATGGGATTAGCTGTAGTTGGGTATCAAGATATTATACAATTTCTCTATTTCATAGAAAAAAGGACTCAAAGTAAGCCATAATGCCCCCTCTTTCTTCTTGTATACAGGTACTAACAGGCTCATGGCATCTCCTCTTTCCCATCACTGAACACATATAATCTATTTTTATTCTAGTTTATAGCTCTTCTCCCCAAATCTCAGCTATACACACTGCTCATTGCCCAGATGATGATTTTAACAACTAGCATTTACTGAAAGCCACAAAGCTGGCCATAGTAGAGAAGACCCCTGGTTCTCAGTGTCCAAGTGGTTTTCACAGGGCTAGGGACCAGAACTAAAGTTTTGGAAATGAAAGGGCTGTAGCACTGAGCTACATCCCGAGCCCTTCATAAGGGTTTCCATGTGGTGCTTGTTTTGATTTTTGTCACAGAAATCCCAGAAAAAAAAAAAAAAAAAAAAAAACGTTTTACAGACACTAGCATGGCTGAAAGCAAGCAGGAGCTACTGAGACTGGAAATGACCTTGAGATAGTAGCTCCTAACAGTTGTCAGTGCTGTTTCCCTTTAAAATGCCTAAAACTTGCAGAGTGGCTGAGGCAGGCCCCAAGTGAGGTTACATGCATCCTTAACAGCCCTAGGCTGATTACTGATGTTGCCATGGGCAAGTTATAAAACCCTCTCTAACATTACAGAGCCCCTGCTATTAAATAATAACAGAGTTACACTATTTTTGGAGAGAGTGCACGTCCTGCTGTGCTTCTGAAAGTCAGAGGACAACCTGTGTCTGTCAGCTCTGTCCTTCTACCACCTAGGAACCCAGCAATTCAGCTCAAACTCAGGTTGTCAGGCTCCTCCATAGGCACCTATACCAGCTGAGCCATCTCTGCCCCATCCCCTTCTGAGGGGAAGTGCCAGGGTTCAGGCTCAGTGATCTTGGCTCCTCAGCCCATACTTCAAAACACCTATCTATATTAAACATCCTGTTTCCCCTCCTCAAAATCTCAATGAAAATTACCATCTGTCAAACCAGCCATTCTTCTCATCTTTAATTTTGCTCTAGCCCATCACAGAATTTAAGGTGAAGTGGGCCACTAAAGTTACAGCATTACCAGGTGGCCCTCCAGTGTCCACACATTTCAGACTGAGGGAGCATGTCCAAAGCACTTTTCCTATTTCTGGATGAATGTTTCCCTCCACTTGTTTTCTAGTGTATGCGCATATGTGCATGTGCAGGTATACAAAGTCACCAGAAGATGTCAGATCACTGGATGCTACAATGAGAGGCAGTTGTGAGCCACATGGATGTGGATGCTGGGAACCAAACTCAGGTTCTCTGCAAGAGATCCAAGCACTAAACAGTTGAGCATCTCTCCAGCTTCCTCCCTGACTTAGATTTTCTTTTTTTCCACATTTATTCATTGAGTGCATATATATGTGTAAGTGTGTGTGTAAGCTAATGCATGAGAGTGTCACAGTGGAGAGGTCACAGGACAGAAAGTAAGCTCAGGCAGTTAGGCCTGGTGGCAAGTGCCCTTCTTACTCTTTGAGCCATTTCCCCTGATGATGGCTATTTTTATACAACAGCAGGAAAAGATACATTCTGTACTGCATAGGGAATTTAACGTTTAGGCCAGGTTAAAAAACATTATATATACACTATAAATATCTGTTGAATAAGTGATTAGAGTCCAAATAAGGTTATTTCACCCTTTATATTTCAGCTATTTCCAGCTTCCTGCTTGTAAGATCTTATTCGCATTTCCTTCAGTCTCCTGACTATTCTTTCCCTCTCTTCCAGTGTCCTCTGCACTCCCACAACCCTAATTTGCTAGCTGGTCTGCTGTAATATACTTCTCCTTGTACAGCTCTGTTGTTTCACTTTCAAATTGCCACCGGGAGCATACCAAAATGCACCTTAGAAACCACAGTTAACGGCCTTACTTTTCATTTAAGAGGTTCTTTACCATCTGATCCCCGTCTACCTTCTCAATACTATTTCATCTATACATCCACTCATCTAACACACTGACATACCAAGGAGGATTGCCAGGCTAAACTCAGAGAAGAGGGAATGTAAAAGCCAACCATGAGGCTAGGAGTTTGACAACAGGCGAGGGAACTCTGCAGAAGGGTAATGTTGAGCTGAAAGGATGGTTACACTGGAATGTGCATTTGTCAAAACTGCATCACATAGTTTGCTTACCAAATGAGCATTTTGCCCTATGTAAGTTTTATCTGAAGAAAGAGTCAGCAGGTGATAATCTCATTAAGGCCTGACCTGCTACCTTCTTGCAGTGTACTTAAGAAATTGTTATAGCAAAAGAAAGCAAGCAAAAGGAAAGGCCTTGAAAATCAATGTTCAAATCAAGTTAATAACGTACAAGTTGAAGGTGACCATGAAGGTGCACACCTATAATCCCAGCACTCCTGAGGCAGGGTCAAGATCAAGTGCACGGCCAGACATGGATACAGAGCCAGATCCAGTCTCAAAACCAAAGACAAAAAAACCTCAAAATGTCAGCTGAGAACTCTTAAATGAGGGCATATGCTGCTCACTATAAATTCCTTCAATTCTTGTTTAACAAATCTCATAAAACAATGAGAAAAAAAATAGTTCTGAATTTGGGCTGACTGGGAACATAAGAGGGAAACAGAGGAGGGAGGTGTGGGCCTTGAAGATGACCTTTGATGGTGACCTGAGAGCAGGAGGCACCCAAGGGATCCAGGAGAAATAGCAGGAGCAGGATCTCAGCGGAATTGTTTCCTCAGTATCCGTGCCTTCTGCTAACCTCCGTTCTCTTCTCCAAGTGTCCTCTGATGATCCTGGCATTCCACTCTCAGCCTGGGACTTGCTTACGGCATTATTATCTACTCCTATCACAAGCAGAGCTGATGATACCAGACTCACACAGATATCCACCTGAGTTTCATGAAACAATTTGCAAATGAACGAATGACAATCTGTCATATCCATATGTCTGTGCTCACAATGACTTGCTTCCAAGGCATGGCTTTTACATACACAAGCACTAGCATGCACATATGTACGTGGATGCGCATGCACACACACACAAAAGTAAACTCTATAATGGAGAAAATAAGTTACAACTTTGACTTTATAGATAGAAAAAAAATTTCTATTCCCAAGTTATTTTTATTTTAAATTTTTTGTTTCTTTAGTTGTTTTTTTTTTTTTTTTTTTTTTTTTTTTTTTTTTTTTTTTTTTTTTTTGTTGTTGTTGTTGTTGTTTGTTTTTTGAGAAGGATTTCTCTGTGTAGCCTTGGCTGTCCTGGAACTTGCTTTGTACACCAAGCTGGTCTCAAACTCACAGACATTCACCTGTCTCTGCCTCCCTGAGTACTGGGATTACAGGTATGCACCACTGTGGCTGGCATTTTATTTTAATGTTTGAGACAGAGTCTTGCTGTGTAACATAAGCTGGCCTTCATCTTCATCCTCCTGACTGCTTCCCAAGTGCCTGCTACCATATCTACCTTTTCTATTTTTCTTTCTTTCTTTTTTTTAAGATTTATTTATTTATGTGTATGAGTGCTCTATCTGCATGTTCACCTGCATGCCAGAAGGCACAGATCACGTTATAAGTGGTTGTGAGCCCCATGCGGTTGCTGGGAATTGAACTCAGAATCTCTAGAAGAAACAACCAGTGCTCTTAATCACTGATCTATTTCTCCAGCCCTCTTCTTTTCTTTTTTGTTTTGTTTTGTTTTTTGAAACAGTTTGGGCATGAATTCCAATTCCCCTGCTTCAGCCTTCCAGATTCTAGGGTTCTGGGCTCATACTACTATATGGTACCCAAATTCTAAATATAGTTAGTTATCCTTCTCTTACTAGCTTTTCTTTCAGATTTAATATATTCCACTTTGTAGAAATATAAACAAAAAAAGAGAATGGAATGGCTGTTTTTAGGTGACAAAATTATTTGTACTTTCTATTACTGAAAGAAAAACTGGTAATTTTTTTTCTTTAGGACTCTAGTAATTCATTCATGGAATATATTTGTAAGACTTTCTTGTTTTATTTCTAAGTTTATAAATTTACTATTTTTTTTTTTTTTTTGTTTTTTGAGATGGGGTCTTACTCACACTGGTTGTGAACTTTTCTTCCTCCTGCCTCAGCCTCCTGAGTACTGGAGTGTCCTAAATGGGCCACCATACCCAGCTGAGTTTATAAATTCCTAATAAAAATAGGTATTAATTTGATAACAGGGTCAAACTCTCTTTACCAGATCCTAAAATACATCTGTTGGGAATCTTCCCAGGTGGTGAGGTGACTGACTTCTTGCTTCATCTCCCCTATGGACAGGGAGCTCCCCAAGGTCAAGAACCCTGTCCTTGGGCTGGAGGGACACTCGGCCATTAAAAACACAGGCTGCTCTCAAAGAGAACACAGGTTCCATTCCCAGGACCCACATGGCAGCTGAAAACCATGGATAATATCAGTTCCAGAGGACTGATGCCTCCTTTTGACCTCGGAGGGCTGCTGCATGCATGTGGCACACATATACACATTCAGGCACATAAAACATACACATAAATATAATAAAAAAGTACTATTCTGTTGATCTTTGCAATGTCTTTGGACACCAAAATGAATACGAAGGAATGTTTTTCCACTAACCCACACCAGTTAAGAAAGTTGTGAGCTCATTTTATTAACTAGATCAGTCACCCACTACTAGTTTAGAAAATTTTCTCCAAGATGGCCCAAAGGTTACCTTTTCACATTTCTCAACTGCCCTGGCAGACAGTGGATATTAAGGGAAAGAAATAGGGTATAGTTACTTCTATGATGTCTAAGAATCATGGTGTTCTTAAGCCTTTGATCAACAGGCTGGGAAAATGGCTCTATAAGACAAGCCAGGAATAATTAAGTTGCCTTGTGGCATTTTACCAGCACAACGGCAGCTATCACTGGGTTGGCTCAAGGCTACTTCCTACTCAGGAAGAACCTGTTTCACGGAGACCCCTTCTCCTTACCTTTTCTCCCCTCTCTCTCTCTCTGTCCTTCTCTTCTCTTTTCTTTTTCTTCTCCCCATGTCCATCCGTGTGGAGAGCAGGAAGTGGCAGAGTGGGGATACTGGAGGCTGGGCCAGGTATCACTGCATGCTCCTGAGAAGCGCCATGCTCTCGGGAAGAGCTTGCTGCCAGCCCTGAGGTCCTCTTGGTTCGAGAGTGCCGCTTCTCCTTGTGTCTGTCCTTGTCCTTCTTCTTCTTGCTCTTCTTTGACTTCTTCTTCTTCTTGATTTCCCTATAAGAATCATCTATCACCAGTTCACCGGCCTCCAGCTCCCCACCAGAGGACGACTCAGACTCTACTAGAATGGGGTCAAGCCCTGTGATTTCAAGGTTAGTACTGTGGGATTCTGGAAGCTGGGAGGTATCAGACCCACAGCCCTCAGGGCCAGGAGATGAATGTGAGTCTGAGGATGACTTGTGCTTCTTCCGGGCTGTTTTCAGGAGGCTCTGGAGTTCGTGTCCTAGGAGTAAAGCACCTTGCTCATCCCGAGCTAATTTCTTGGAGGACTTTTTCAGAGAAGCCTGTTGGGCAGGGTACTGAAAAGCCTCCTCCTCCACTGAGCTGCTTCCTTTCTCCTTGGGTGACAGAATAAGTTTCATCTTTAAGCCATCAGGCTCACGAAGAGTCAGTGTCTCTGTGTTCACATAGAGTGGCTTCATTTTTTTGGATTTGTGAGCATTGCTGTCCTCTAGGGAGAGCTCTCCACTGCTTCCATTGCCCTTCTTCTTGTGGTGTTCCTTTCTGCTCTCTGAATGGCTTGAAGAACTGGAGGATTTCTCCCCTGCCTTCTTGGAGGACTTGGCACCTGCTGACAGTGGGGAGGTGATAGCTTTCAATAGGTCCATTGCTGTGTCGGCTGACTGTGGACTAGATTTCTTCTTTTTCTTCTGTGATGATTCCAAAGACGAAATGTCTAGAAACAATGAAGAGAAGTACTGTCAACAGGACAGGAAGTAACTTCTTGCAAGTGTCCCCCTCTCACCAAAAGCACCCAACTGGCATGAGGAAAAGGCTAACAGGAGTGATTTTAGGGGGAGACACTTTGGTTCCTAACATTCAGAGAGAACTCCTGTGATACTTCTTGGCTTGGTAGATTCAGCCTTTGGCCCTGGAGACCATTCTTGCCACTAAAGCTGATTCTCTTCCTTGAGTCTTCGCAAGAGACAGAGAGCATAGTTGGAATAGAGTTGTGGGATTAAGGGTTGTTACAATCTAGAGTAGATTGCAGATGGAGTGTCACTGGTTCTTGTGTGGAGGACAAACTCATTCTAGTGAGGTTAGTCTCATCAGCTACACAGAGCATAGCTAAGAAAATGGGTTTTGTGAGAGGATATATGCTGAGATATGCCCCACAGATATGTAGAGGGCCCAAGGACTGCATTTGGTAAAGGGATGCTAAGTAGCAATGGCACAGATAAGTGGATGATTGGGGGGAGAAGGAACCTGGTACCTTGTGTATCACAAATGAAGACTGTTCTTCTATGCTGAATCCTCCAAAATACCAGCCCTCCACCTCTCTCCTCCTTCACACTGGTTTATCGGCACTCAGAACAAGAACCACTGTCCTGTTAAATAGGCCACTGAGTCAGCAATATCTGGGATCCCTTCCCCTACCCCGACTCCAAGAACCAGAGATGTGCATATCCCACCTGCAGCCTGTTCCCATCCTCACCTCCATAGTAGTAATCATCAGGGGAGTGCTTCCTTTTCTTCTTGTGTGTGTCCGTCCCCAAGAAGAACAAGTCACTGTCCTGTGGTTAAAGAGGGAGAAGAATTGGCGAGTAATAAGACGGCGAGGTAATGGTTTGGAGCCGTTCTTCTGGGATCCCGGCTTTGAAAGACATCTGGAACTGACCTTTGACTTCTTCTTGGAAGAACTTCTGACCTGCGCAGCAACTTCTTCCTCTTCCCTTAAGAAGTCTTTGTATGACCGCTTCTTTTCTCGTTGGCTTCGGCCAGCTGCAAGTCCTATGTCCTCAAAGCTGTGATCACCATCAAAGCAATCTGGGAAGCACAGGTTCATTTAGGAATGGAAATGACAAATGTACATAACAACCAAATGCCAACAGTCCCATTTCCAAGTAAAAGTTATGTTTCAGTGTGTCCACTGAAGTGCAGGGCTAAACCCAGAGGGCCAAGAAGACTTCTGACGTCCTGGCTGCAAATACAAGACTCAAACCTGAAAACGCAATACTTCCACACTATACAAATGCCCAGTGTGCATCCTCAGACATGGTTTCTTAGTAGTGATTTGACAGGTAGAAACAGACTGGCGAGGGAAGGCTGAAAAGGGTAAGGATTCATGTGCTGTGCTGCTCTGTGGGAGTCCAGTGTGAGATTCCTAGTCCCAGACTCCTGCACACTGGAGCTGGCAAGGACTAAGAGTGCTGCGGGGATCACCCCAGGAAGTTAAGACTCTTATTTCAGACTCTTGTGTAGGAAGCCCTGTCCTGGTTCTCATGTCCACGGGCCCAGCCTGGGGATGATGTGGAGGCTGTCTCACACAGTATTCTGGAGCATCACTTGGTCTAGGCCGTGGTGCCCAGTCTTGGTCTCTACATCCATGGACTGCAGGGACGAAAGAGGTTATGCCCTTTGGAATGCTTCTGAGTAAGGGGTCATACCTTCTTTCTTCATGGAGTCATCATAAGCCATGGTGGTCCTGCAGGGCCTTTGAGAATGTGTTGTCACTTGTGTCCAGGCTCCTTCCCGTGTACAGGACCAGGTCTGAGAAACAAAGAAGGAAAACCTTCCTGTAATGTGAAATCAGTGTGGAGAAGCAACCTTCCGGGTGGAAATTCCAAGTAATCCAAGGGCTGACTGGAAGGAACACAGGAGTGTCTTGTCAGCTCCTCACTGTCTGTGCATATACTGGAGTTGAACTTGCAGGGAGGATGCTAAGCTTAACTGGATTTCATTCACGTATTAAAGTTGACATTTGAAGAAATATATAAATACTTCTTTAAAAAAACTTCCAAAATTAGTAAGAATTTCTGGAATGCCAACAGGAACGACACTGAGACACGGTAGAAACTGACATTAAGTCAGAAGGATGGGTTCAACAGTAGTCATAGCATGTACAGATAAAGCCAGATGCAGAGAAGGACAAAGCACACCAAACCCTGGAGGACCGCCAGGTCCTACTGATAAGGTGAACTGATAAAATCTGCTGTGCCAGAACTTAAACAGCATGTATACAGACATTAAGAATTTTAAAGCTTAGCATTCTGCTGGGCTTAAGAACTAGTTCACATTTACTTAGGTATGAAAATGGACATATTTCTGAAATGTGTTGGCTATATGGAAATTTCCAGCATTAGAAAGCCTTTTTGAAAGGCTAGTAAGAAGTATGGAGAATTGCCATTTATCCACTGATGATGACATTTATAATTTTAGGATTTTTCATTAATAAAGTTCTGTAATAAAAAAGTTCTAAGTATTGGGTTTTACACGTTCTCTCTTTCTGGTTCAGACAGGGTTTCTCTATGTAGCCTTAGCTGTCCTGGACTTGTTCTGTAGACCAGGCTGGCCTCAAACTCAAAGATCACCTGCCCTTGCCTCTATTTCTGCTGGGATTACAGGTGCTTGCCTGACTGGTTTTGTTTTTTAAGACAGGGTCTCCTTATGTAACCCTGGCTGGCCTGGAACTCATGTAGAGCAGACTACAGCATTTACAGAGATAGCCACCTGCCTCTGCCTCCTGAGCACTGGAATTAAAAGGCATCATCACCTTACATGGTTCTAAGTATTATAGTGTGTATAGCTTTCAAACCATGGGTCAGAATCCCTTGGGGTGGGTGGGGTGAGGGTCAAATGACCCTCTTACAGGGGTCACCTAAGACCACAGGAAAACAGATAATTATTCTTAATAGTAGCAAAATTACAGCTATGAAGTAGCAAGAAAAATAATTTTATAGTTGGGGGTCACCGCAACATGAACTGTATTCAATGGTTGCAGCATTAGGAAGGTTGAAAACCACTGATTTAAAACTTTTGTGGCATTCAAGTTCAGATGCCCATATTGACTTTGAAGGTGACAAAATTATATATTGCACTGTAAAGGAGAATTCTTAAATTACCTTAAAGACAAAATTTTTGCAGAATTTTTTTTTTTTTTTTCTGACAGGGTCTCACTAAATAGCTCTGGTTGGCTAGGAACTCACTTCTTTGAAGGGTATTTAAAATAACTATTTTGAAAATATTTCCATTCAGTTAGTCAAGTACTAAGACATTAATCTGATAATTTAATTTTACCTTCATTACTATAAATGGATTTAGGATTACTGAAGAACAGTTCTATAACACATTATTAAGCCCTTCAGATAGGTATAGAGAAAACAGAAGCATCTAATTTTAGGGAAAGATGAACTGGACTAATGGAAAAGTTTCATAATTTACTAGGTAAGAATTTTTGTTTAGTGAGGCATGATGGTGAATATCCTTAATCTCAGTCCTCAGGGATTAAGTCAGTACTAAGCCAGGTAGTTCTCTGTAAATTCCAGGGCAGTCTGATCTACGTGAGTTGCAAACCAGCTAAGACTCTAAAGTGAGACCACCCTGTCTCAAAAACAAAATAAAAAGAGTTTTTGTTTAAAAAAAAGACACATAAATTCAATACATAGGTAGACCAAAGCTAAAAACACAAAGAAGAAAAACATTGCCAAGGTTTTGAAAGTCTAAGAAACATAAAATGTGAAATGAAGAATGAATTTGCTTGATGTAAGGGAAGCCAGAATGAAGTGAATAAAGTGAAGTGGGTTGTTTAGAGAGTGGCACACTGCTTGCTCAAAGGGCCTTTTCGTGAAATGAAGAGTGAAATGTAGGTCAGGCCTCATCTAAGAATGTAAGGAGACAAGATATACCATGTAGCCAGTTTTTCCTGTTCTGGCATTTAAGTACTCAACTTTCTACACTAGAAACCGATCTTCACTTCCCACCCACTGGTGGGACTTAGAGGGAGTGAAGGTGGGTCACTGAAAATGATAACCATTTAAAAATGACAGTTTTTGCCAGCTGGCACACACCTTTATTCCAGCACCCGGAAAGCAGAGACAAGTCCATCTCTTGCGAGTTGAAGGCCAGTCTGATCTACATAATGAACTCCAGGGCTAGTTAGAGACTCTCTCAAACAAAGGAAACAAAACAATGGCAATCTTCTCACTAGTACAAATGATGAGTTTATTAGAAAGCCATACAGGGCACCTTGGCTTTCACAGGCAGATATAAGTAAAATAGCTTTAGACATGAAGACTTTTCATGCCAGATCAATTTTGGCATAAAATTCCTGAGAAATAATGTCCTCCCCCCAATTCCAACAACACCCTTATTTAGTCTCATAATATAGCCATCAGTCCCTGGTCAAACACCAATACACTTTTAAATGTAAGCAAAGACAGGCCCAGAGACTCATAAATAGGCTTTTCCCTGGAGAACATTAAAACTAATATGTAATAAAATTAATCAATGTCTTATGGAGGGAAACTGAACTTTTTACTAGGTATGAAAAAGTTATTTCCTGACTGCTGTGAAAAACCTGTAGATTTTAAAAAGGTTTGGAAAGAAACATAAAATTACATATGCTCTTGAAGGCAGGACCACACAGATGTGCTGTCTTTTTGTATTAGGATCAGGCCTATTACTACTGGAACTTTCTCAAAAATATTGAAGAACATTTCACAAAATGCTTGTAGAAAAAGTGAATGAGCCCTGAACACAAGTCCAGTTCACCAATATGTGGGGCAGTCAGAACTTGAGAAATACCATGGACTATTCACAGCTGGGGAGACTGATGGGCCCTGAATGGTGGCTCAGGGGCTGACTTGTAGAATGATAATAAACAGGGGGGTAATAGAATGACAGTACCAGGGGGGTAAAAGTCTCAAGCAGCAGTGTGAGAGAAGGCAGAGTTCAGGCAACATTTATACAAGATTAGAAGAACCCCTCTTATTCCTTCCAAGTCTCAGATATTGTCCAAGATAATAGAGGGTTCAGGGTTAGGAAGTAAATTTGGGAGGGTTAATGAAGATGAAAAAAAAAAAATCTAGGTTTGATTTTCACATCAGAAAACAACCACATCAAATGTTGGCAAACATAAAACAGGTGCTAAGACCTATTCTCTTGAATTCCATAATTTTGGAGTTTACAAAATTTGATGTTGTCAATTCCATGGGGCAGGATAGTTTTACTGTTAGTGTTTGTCTTAGTGTGCAAAGAAATGACAACATAGTAAAATTCATTGTTTAATACTGTTTATGCCATTATAAAAAGCTTAAGAAATTTGAACATTGTTAACTGGCTCTTCAGAGGCTTTTCTTCAGGTTGCTGTTCTACTTGTAAGTAAAACTGCAAGTCAACCTCCAGACACAGGTTTTTGTGATAACTATGAAAAAAGTTATAATCTTCAAAGGTAGTATGTTGTGGAAATTCACACTGTTAACTATCTTTTTAAAAAAAGTTTCAGAAAATGATTTTCTGGAGGTAATCTCAAGTCCAGCCATCATCCCAGAATAGACATGAGAAGTGCAAAAGAAAATCCACCCAATAAACTGGGCAGGGAAGGTCCGTCTCCTCCCGATGGGAATTTCCTCCAAAGCTGTTTTCAGGAACTCAGATTGCCAGTCTGTGCAGGCAAAGGAAGACAAACATCCAGATGTTGGCAGTTTCTGATATTTTGTTGCTGCTTCTAGGATAGCACAGGTGAATTCTTGTTTCAGTGGATTTCCTTCCATCTCGGATATCTCGGAATTCTTGCCACACCCCTTTCCAGGGACCTATCTAAGCAGCACTCCCAGCCCCTGCCAGCTTCGGAACCTGCGATCTCCACAGCCAGAAAGGCGCACTGAATCTTCTCATTGCAAAGCAATTAAGTGGAACCACGACCACTGCACAAACTGGCTGACGGCACTCCAATTCCACGAGGCCAGCGATCCAAAATTTGACAAGCCATGTGTGTTCAACAGGCTTTACTTGGGATGCAGTTTTTAAATTTTACTTTGCTACGAGGGAATAGAATTGGCCAGTAGCTTAGAGAGAGGGGTGGGATGGGTGGTGGACATTTGTCTTCTACATGCTATAAAGTGAATCTACAAGTAGTGGTTACGGAGAGGGAAAAGGGCCTGAATGGAGGGGACTCCAAACTGAGTCGCACGCAAAAAACACACACAGCAAGAGATGGTTTATCCACACGGTCCCCAAGACCACCGTTCCCGGGGTCCCCGCTGTGACTTGCCCCCGGCAGGTTTGCTGCAACAGCGACTTCAACAAAGCTCCGCGCAGCGCAGGGAGCTCCGCGCATCCTCTCCCGCGCGCCGCGCGCCCAGTCCTCCGCCTGCCCGCCTCGGGACCTCTCCTCCTGACAGCCCCAGGCAGCCCGCGCCCCAGGTCCCCAGCCGCGCTCCGCCCGACCCGGGTTCCCGCGTCCCGTCGGCCTCGAGCGCCCCGGAGCGCAGAGCCGGCGGCGCAGGGGGAGGGGCAGGGCGGGCCGCGGGTCCCTGGGGCGGCCGCACGCCCCCTCCCGGCCCCGCAGCTTTCCCGCCTTCCCCGTTTGAACAGCTCACGCCGCCTTCCTCCTGCGGCCCGCTCCAGCCCCTTCCCCGGGGCGGCTGCGGCCGCTACTCCAGGTCCCGGCTTGGCCCCCGAGCTAGGCCGCGGCGGGCCTGAGGCGCCTCCGGGACGGTGTCGCGGGGCCGGAGCGGTGGGCGGAGGCTAGGCGGGGCCGTTGCCGCCCCGGGGTGGGGGTCTGGCCGGGTATGGTGGGGGCTCCGCTCGCCGCTACCTTCACTCTGCTCGCTCGGATCCCGCCTCAGCGCCGCCGACCGCCGCCATCTTGGAGAAGGAGAGAAAAGCGCGAGCAACCAGGGAGCCTCAGTCGAGCCCAGAGCGCAGACTCCGACTGCAGCGGGCTAACGCGCCAGCGAAAGAGTGTCGAGCGCATCGAATAAAGCCTGCTTGCTGAGCGCGGTCGCCGAAGCGTTCGGGAGTACGCTCTGTGCCGGATTTGGGATAGAAGTCGATCTAAACGTATCATTTCCCAAGACGTCTGATTATTCTTCAGTTAAAACTGATGCAAAGAAACCGCAAATAAAAAAGACCAGACAACAAGATTAATGTAGCCAAACACCTGCCCCAACCCACTCGTTAGAGCTCGGAGAACTATGCAATTAGGTTCTGAAGCTGTGGAGCTTCACTTTGGGTTTTACAAGTTCACCATCAGTTACATTTTATTGCATTTATCTACTATATATACCTACAAGAGCCGAAAATTCCATGGCAGACTTAAAGTTAGAAAACCAATTAGCTTTGTATTCTCTATTACAAACTCCTGGCTCTTTATCAGCATTCTTCCTCCTTTTCTGTTCACCTAATAGTATCCTTTCTTGTTCTCTTTTTACCCTCAAGTCTTTTGGTACTTAAGGCAGTGTTGTTTCCCACCCCCCCTCTCCCCCAGAGTATTATGCTGTTTATTTCAAGACAGTCCTCTTCCTTCCCGACTCAGAGCCACGAAGACTATAGTATTATTTATTTGTAATTTAGCATCATCCCCTGTGGGGTGAAACAGAACAACACATATTTGTAAGATACGCTGTAAATTTGCTTTCCCACCAAATCATTACATTTGCCTCGTCCACACAAATTTTTGTTTAAATGGTAACGGGACTGGTGAATTGGTTCAGTAGGTTAAGGTATTTCATGCCAAACTTCTGGGTATGTGTTTGCCACTGGGAGCCCACATACTGGAAAGAACAGATTTATGCAAGTTTGACCGCCACAGAAGTGCCCCTTAAATATACATAAAATGAAAATAAATAAAAGTTACTCTTTCCCAAAGAAAGAGTAGATATGATTCCTACTCAGGAGAAAACACAGTTTCTTCCAATTTGCTGAGGAGACCTTTGGCCAATAAGAATTTACAGTGTCCAGACCTGGTTTAATCTAATGACCCTGTTTTTCTAGCATAGCGTTAGTAGACAATGGCCTTCTGTGTGACCTCTCCATCAGGCCTTGCAGAAGCTGGTGCCCTAGGGAGGAAGTTTTTCTTTTTTGCTTTGTCAAAGTCACAGGAGGTAGGCATTTGGGGGGATGGGGTCGAGGACAGGTCTTGCTTTATAGTCCTAGATGTCCTAAAACTCATTATGTAGGTCATCAGGCTTGCCTAAAATTCACAGAAATCCTGCCTCTGCTTCCTGAGCACAGGGGTTAAAAGCATGCACCACTATGCCCATTTTAGTCCAGTAGGTTGATTTTTTTAAATTAAAATATACTTACATCGCATTCCCTCCTTTCAACCTTTCCCATTTATTTCTCTCAAATTCATGGACTTTTATTTCTTTACTTGTTGGCGTGTGTATATGTGCACGTTCGTTCGTGCATACTCATGAAGCCAGAGGAAAATACCAGATCTCCTGGAGCGTGAACTGTACAATGTGCTGGGACCTGAGCTCTGGTCCTCTGGAGGAACAGTAGGCACTTAACCTTGGAACCGTTTCTTTAGCTTTCTGGGCTGTTCTTGATCGCAATTATACTACCAGCTTGCTCACCATCTCGGATCGATGTACATCTATCTATCTATCTATCTATCGAAACAGTCCTTATGGAAAGCACTGGGATAGCTGCTGGGCACTGAAGAGACAACAAAGTCAAGGGTACTTGAGCCCCAGCAGCTTACATTCTACTCTGGCTGGGAATGGGGAGGTAGAAAATAATAAAGACATGTTATGTTGGGTGATGGTGTGCTGACTGGATAAGAGCAGTCCCAGCTGCAGGCAAGGGTAGAAATATGACCCAGGGGTGGTTCTTGTGATGAGGTGCCAGCTGAAGCTTGCCTCCAAAGAAGGGGACTTAGTGGTGTAGTCCAGTAGGTCAAGGCTCTTTGAACAAGCTCATGTTCCTTAGAATTTTGGGGAGAGAAGTTTCGCTGCTGCTGTGAGCATCCTAGCATGGCTGTCTGTAATTTGGCTGGAGAAGGCAGAAGAGGAGAGCTAACCCCATAGTGTTCTCCTTGAGCTCATGAACATGCACACGCGCACACACACACACACACACACACACACACACACACACACACATATTATAACAAATAAATGATTTAAAACACTAGAAATAATAATGTGATACCATGTATAATCATTCAAAACAAAACAAGAAACTCATACCGTTAAGAATTAATTAGTGTGGGGTTAGAGCATCTATCTATCTATCTATCTATCTATCTATCTATCTATCTACCTATTTATTTATTTTTCTGGTTTTCTGAGACAGGGTTTCTCTGTATTGTCTTGGCTGTCCTAGACTTGCTTTGTAGACCAGGCTGGCCTCGAACTCAGAGATCCTCCTGCCTCTGCCACGCCTGGCAAGAGCATTTGGTTATGCTCTTGGGTTAGGTTAGGTTCCCAGCACCCACATGGCAGCTCATAACCATCTGTAACTCCAGTTCCTGAAGAGTCAATGCCTCCTTGGGCTGTCACAGACACTGCATGTGCACGACGCACAGGTGTACAAGCAGGAAAACCCCCACACTGAAAACAAAGATAAATCTACACAGTGTGAGAAACTGAGTGGAGCGTGAGACAAATCAAAGTCAGCTGCTGTGGACAATCTGAGGCAGCCCCAAGTCCCACGCCTGGGATCAAAACAAAAACATATTCATCTAACATAACTGGTTTTTCATTTTTGTTTTATGACAGGGTTTTTCTGTGTAGCCCTGGCTGCCCAGGCTGGCCTCAGACTCATAGAGATCTACCTGCCTCTGCTTCTCAAGTGCTGGGACTAAAGGTGTGCCCCACCACCACCACACCCGGCTCATAACTGGATTTTTAAAGGAATCAAAATTCTCACTGCAATTCACTATTTAGCTTCTATTACACGTCTTCTTGTTCTAGCACCTTCCCCAGCATCCTCATGACCTCAGAATATCTGCAGTGATACGCCTTCCTATGTCACTGCCTCTGCCTCCCCACCTTTCTTTTCTATGCGTGGGTCCAGGAGCCATGTGGAAAATGGTCTTGTCCCAAAGTGAATAGCAATGAGTTCACTGAGGAGGATGAATAGCCATGTTTTGTCCTCTAGGGATGACTTCAGTGCTGTGTGGCTGGACTGTCACTGCTCCCTAAGACACAAATCTCAGGGCTGAGTCTAGATCACTGCTCCAGAGACACATTAAGTACCCTTTAATTTCCAGTATCCCATCTCAGAGCAATCTGCCACCCAGTACCTGCCATTTCCATGAATCAGGAGGTAGTTGAGATTACTCTGCTATACAAGATATGTTTTAATAACTTGGAGCATCAGAAGGATGATAGCAGAGTTGCCTTTCCTCTCCTCTCAGGGCACTTCTCCTATGTAAAATGTACCTACAAACAAATAAGCAGTAAGTAAATGGTATGATGACAGAGGGCTTCCATCCTGCTGCTTTCCTGTTGGCCTGTAGGAGCAAGTTCTGTGACATTGAGAAAGATTTAGTTTGGGCTGGAAAGATGGCTTAGTGGTTAAGAGTATGCATCGTTCTTCCTGAGGATCTGTGTTCACTTCCCAGCATTCACAGTGGGTAGTTCACAGAGGATCCGATGCCTCCTGCCACCTCGGACAGAGATACATGTAATTAAAAATAATAAAAATAAATCTTAAAATGAAAGCATTTAGTGGACTGAGGATGTAGTTCAGTGATAGAATTCTAGCTTCATATTGGAGAGAGGTTGGGTCCATCACCAAGATTACAAACAATGAACAACTAACAGCAAATAAACAAAAATCCTAAGAAACAGCTTAGGCCCTTGTCTACCCCAGTTAATTTTCTCTCAATCTTGCTGCTCAAATCTATGACAAGTTGACAATGAAAACAAATAAAGGTAGTGTCAAACTACAGCCCCTTCCCCCTTTTCCACAGGGGACCTGCTGTAAGACCCTGGCAATGACTGAAACTGTGGATACTATTAAGTCCTACATATACTGTGTTTTTTCCATGTAACACATATATGTGATATATTTACATGATAAAATTCACCTTATAGAGTAGGCAGATGAGGAGTAATAACAGTAAGTAATCATGAACAGGCACATTAATCTACTATAATGAAACCCATGTGAAGTAGTCTCTCCTGTGTCTAAATATCTCTTTGTGCACATACCTTAGAGGAAGCACCTTTCACCGTTCACATTTTCTCGGCCATACTAGCTGCTAGCACTACTACTCGTTTTTGTTCTTCCCAACACAGGGTTTCCCTGTGTAGCCCTGGCTATCCTGAAACTCACTGTATAGACCAGAACTCTGCCTCAAATGCAGAGGTCTGCCTACTTGCCTCTGCAACCCAAGTGCTGGGATCATGCCCAGATGTTCGATACTCATTTAGGACTGTATTCACCACAACAAGGGTGACTTAAACTCACAAACTTATAGTCAGCTTGGTAACTGACATGGCTATTACATGACTAACAGGAGGGTAGCATGTGTAATGTGAATATACTGGGCAAAAAGATGGCTTACTTCCTGAGTAAGACGCATAGGAGTTCAGGACACTACAGTGGTAGAGATTTTAAAACACACACACACACACACACACACACACACACACACACACACACACACACACA